AGGGAGAGAGAGGGAGACAGCATGTTCAGGAGCTGGGGAGGGGCAGAGAGAGAGAGAGGGAGAGAGAGAATCCCAAGCAGGCTCCAGGCCGTCAGCACATCCTGACTCAGGGCCGCACGAACCGTGAGATCATGACCTGAGCCAAAATCAAGAGTCAGATGGTCAACCGACTCAGCTACCCAGGTGCCCCCAAGAGTATTTTCATAATAACCTTCATCTTCTGCTGAACATTTCCCTTAGATACATCTTCACAAGTGAAATAGCGAATTACTAAGTCAAAATTATTTTTACTGACTCAGATAATACATTATCTTGTTACTTTCCAACTAATTGGGGTTTTGCATATGAATATTTTGACTTACAAACTACAGAACAAGTAAGCTCCCTGGTGACACAGAATGTGGCTTAGTCCCTTGTCCTTCACGTGCCCTGTACTATGATACTACTGTGGACACCTAATAAATGCTGGCCCATCCACTGTCAGAAAAGACCCAGAACAGTGCTTGTAAAACTCTAGTCTGGGGTCCACTCTTGGTCACCATCACCCAAAAGGCTAAGTAAGTTCAGATGGAATTTCTGGCCCCCATCCAATTCTGATGTAATGAATCAAAATTTCTGAGATTGGGGCCCAGAAGATGATTTTCATGGCCCTGACCCAGGCTTATTTTTAAGCACGTTAAATCTAAAGACCTCTGCTGAGGATCCTGAAGAATCCTTGGTGAATCTGGAAATGGATGAAAATCAGTGCCAGGGCCATCCTCCCACCTTCCCCGCCTGCTGCCCCTGCTGGGACGAAAGTCTCTCCACCCTGTCACCTGTTCAAATGACACAGCTTGTGTGCCAGGGCCCAGCCCACCCCCAGCTCCTCCATTGGGCTTCCCTAAACAGCATCTCACACCCTGTTCCGCCTCCCTGAGCTGCCCCTCCTCTTACAGGTGGTCCTTCAACCTGGCTTTGGCAGTGGGCATGTTCCCCGGGCCCTGCTCCATGGGCGTTTACAGAGCTAACATACTGTCCTGGGTCCGAAGCAGGCAGATGTCCAGTAGCTGCTGAATCAAACTGAACTGATGGAGTCACAGTGAGCTGCCCTGGACTCGAAAGGAACCAGTAAAATGCAAAGGCAACACTAAGGACTCAGGTTACTTGAAATGTGACCAGTGCTCATTTATGAGGGAAGACGCCTGGGGGGACATTTCGCATTCTAGACTTCTAAGGCTAGATAGTCTAAATAGTCTTCAGTGACCTGTTGCAGACCTGAGCCAGCTTTATGGACCACAGGGACAGGACAGCCCTCATACCTGCAAAGCCTGGAGGTCCTGGATCACCTCTGTGTCCTTTTGACCCCGGCACCCCTGCAAGACCTCTCTCTCCCGGGGGACCTGGGTGGCCGTAGGCAGTGTCTCCCATGATTCCTTTCTGCCCATTTGCTCCACGAGAACCGGGAGAGCCTGGGGGCCCAGGAAGGGAGGACCCCTTTGCACCTCCAAAACCTGGATCTCCTACGTCACCACGAAAACCTATCGAAAAATATTGTTTCAATTGTTAAACGTACAAATATAGAACCAATACAAATGTAAGACTACTACTTTGATAAAAACACATTAAGAAAAAAACACAGGGATACGTAACTAAAATTCAGAGTAACTTAATAGGCAACGTTGCTTTGCCACCTTTCACAGGAAAATACGTTGTGAGTTTGTGTCTTCTAGAAGCCAACAATGTTTCCCTAATCGCTTTCATCCACTGGCGGTCTGTCTGTACTGAGCAGTTTCTACCAAATAATAGACCAACAGTAGTCTATAACTCATGCTTTCAGGTGGAAGGAGCCCTGAGCATTTACAAAATTACCAGAACCTAAAAATTATCAAAACATAGCTAAAAGCTTAGTGTTTCAAGAAAAAACATCTCCCCATGACCTAGGGATCCGTGGGCCATTTGCTTACTAAGGTCATCGAGTTTCGAGGTCTACACACATTCTTAACTGAAAACCACTTACTTACCAGGTGGACCAGGTATTTCTGATATTCCTGGTTTGCCACGCTGACCCTTTGGCCCATCTAAACACCTCAACCCTGGAGCGCCCGGAGGGCCCGGAAGTCCCTTTGGTCCTAAACAATAACAACCAAACCCAGACTCAGTAAAACACAAATGAAATGAGAACAAACTAAGGTGATTTAAAAAAAAAAAAAAAAACGAAAAAAACCTCTATGTGGTCTTTTTCAGAGGACTTCTACTTTATGGAAGATGTTGCCTCGCCTGGTTTACATAATCATTTTATGAATCACGTGCTCCAAGTAAGTGTTTCAAAGAATGATTCTGTTCATGTACTTCATTTTTTTAAAGAAGTTAATGTTTATTTATTTTTGAGAGAGAGAGAGAAAGAGAGAAAGAGAGAGAGAGAGAGAGAGAGAGAGAGAGAGAGAGGGACTGTGAGCGGGGGAGGGGCAGAGAGAGAGGGAGACACAGAATCTGAAGCAGGTTCCAGGCTCTGAGCTGTCAGCACAGAGCCCGACGTGGGGCTCAAATTCAGGAACCATGAGATCATGACCTGAGCTGAAGCCGGACAGTTAACTGACTGAGACATCCAGGTGCCCCTTGTTAGTATACTTTAAGTCATACATAAAGGATTCTTCCTGAAAGCCTTTGAGACATACACCAGCACTCAGATGAACCTTTTGGTTCCTCTGCTCTGTGTCAACACAAATATTAGAGCATAGCCCCTTCTGTAGGAAGAAAGATATGTGGCCTGCTGGGTGAAGGCCAAAATCTATTTCCCTGCATCTTACTGAATTTGCCCTCAAATGAAGTATAGGCAAAAAGCACCTGCAAAAGGAATTGAGATTTATTAAAAAAAATTTTTTTAATTAAAGAAAAAAACCATTCTGACATTTCCTACTCTAAGTGATCTCAGCTAAAATAACTTTAAAGGAGGTGCACCTGCCAACTTCAACTTTGAGTGTTCATGTCCCTTGAGATTTGGAAAACAGAAGAGAGCAAAATGTAATCAGTAAGCAAATTATCATTATTCACTCTTGGGGCATAGGAAATACAGTTTTTAAATTCTCAAAGAGCAGACATTTTCACTGATTTGTGATCAAATCAAGGTAAATTTTGTTACACAGAGATCTAAAAAAAATTAAAAACCCACCTAGAGGGTGCCCAAACCAGTAGACTAGAGTCCCAATGGGAATTACCACTCATACTGGCTTCAAAACCCGGTAAGAGTTTTAGAAATATCCTCATTAGTTGCCTGATGATGAACTATTGGTTCATCTGTCTTACTAGTTCTTTTACTAGTTAAAACAGTTAACTTCTCATTGATCATACCTGGAGCTCCATCAAAACCTGGAGGCCCTGGCCTCCCAGGGTAGGTTACATTACAAGAAATTGTATCGCCTGGAATGAAAAAAAAAAAAAAAAAGTGGCATTCACACAACTGATAGCCCCATGTAACACGAATCCCAAAGACAACTCAATCAAGATATTCTTTTCATGTAGTATATGTGGCATCCAAGGGATAAGAGGACCCCAAGTATCGTTAGATCACTTGAACTACCTTTGTTCTGAATTTCTAGAAGCTCGGTCCTGAAATCTGAACTTCAACAGTCAGACAGCTATAAACATAGGGGGAATAGGAAAAATTCCAAGAAGTATCAGTTTTACTAGCCTAGAAGAAAACAATGCATTTATAGGCTCAATGATATCCAATACAATGGAATCAGAAGATTTGGTAAAGCAGGAAATCACAGCAACATCTGACACTGAGTTCAGAAGATCTGACTCCCAGTTTGGCTGTGGGAGTGTGTAGATGACGGGGGGCGGGGGCGCTGAGATATTAATACCAGCTGCCATTCAGGGAGGGGCTACCATGAGTCAGTGGCCTCAAATGTATTGTCTCTTGAATTTTTTTAATGACTCCGCAATGTGATCGTTGTCACCCGCCATTTTCATGGTCAAGACAGTAAGACTCCGAAGCTTGTGCCTCTGTTTCCTTCCCCTTTAAAATAGAACATTTCTCTTTTCTCATAGAAATAATTATAATGTATTACTTCATATGCTCTCAAATCAAAAATGTACCAAATGAATAAAAATACTGTTATATTTTGATGGGTCCAGAACCATAATCTTAAACCTTATTGAGGGCCAAAATATTGCCTTTCTATGTTGTTGAAGCAAGAACCAAAGATATTATTTCATTCTAAAACTTCGCAGTTAATAACGTAGTCCAAGGTATATGCACATATTGCAAAAGAAAAAAATCTAAATTCTTTCTCCAGCCTTTTCAAAAGTTTTCAGCTATAATACTGCAAGTCACTTTATTGTTTAAATTCAAATAACTGTCAAATATATTTGAAATCCCTTCCTTTTTTCTTTCTTTCTAGAATGCCTACAAATGGGTTTTCAAGGACAGTGATGTATTTTTTAAATGAAATACTGGTGTTTTTTATTAAGATACACTGCGTTGTCTCAAAAGACTATAAACAAATAGATATCTTGAATATATATGTAAATTTAATGCAGATTGCGTAAGTTGGGATTGAGAAATGAATGAAGACAATTTTGGCATGCTAGACAAATAATGCAACAAAGACATTTTAGTATTTTAAGAATTTGTTGTAAATATTGATTGTGCTGTAATGCTTTTATTTGTCTGGCAATATTCAAGGTTTGAACAGCAGCCTGAAGGAATTTTATTTAGTGGTTCTGCTACAATAGTTTGGCCCCAAAGAGGGGATCGCTTTAGCTTCCACTATTTTCCCCTGACATTCTGTAACACAAAACCTTCAAAATTACCTTTCTGACCCTTCAGGCCCTCAAGGCCCCTCTCGCCAGGACGGCCTGGAGCTCCTGGTGGCCCTCTTTCTCCTGGTGGCCCGGGAAATCCTAGTCCTGGTTGTCCCTTAGGTCCTGTTCTTCCTGGGGGCCCTGGCAATCCAGGAAACCCTTTTGCACCTGGGGCTGCGTCTTCATGATCCCCCTGGGAATATTTGCATCGTGAGTCAACTACCAATCTTTGCAAGTCCATAAACCCAAAGCAGCCATTGTCATAGTCTATAGAAGCTGTGGAAAAACTTCATATTTCCAGTAGACAGTTCCTCAATAGCAAGCTATTAAATCACCAATAGATGAGTAACTTAGTTTCTTCTTCATCCTTTATATAAAAATTTACAAACATATAGATGCTATGGCTGGGGGGGTCCACCTCAAATACAGAAAGCTGTGTTATGTATTCAATACAGAATTTAGAAATTTTTTGTTAGAACAACTCTCTAATACCAAATATAACGAAATACAGAAATACGTCAATTGAGGGAGGTAAGAAAGAAGGCTTACAAGCTGAATAAATAAATTCTTAGGTCTTTGAAACTGTTTTCCTGCATTTATGAGAAGACACAGGATAGACTCAATTACCCTCCACGTCTGCAAGGAAAGGGCTGACCAACACTTCCTTCTCCTGCTTTAAGAATTTGACCTTTGGTTAACAGTCTAGTTCTGTTCCTCTGGAAACTTCCTAAAAATTGGATGTCAAATATATTACAAGGCAACATTGCTTATGGTAACATCAATCCCTGGTGGCAAAACTTGCATCTGGTCTGGAAAACTATGAAGACCTGTGCGGAGTCCTTGCCGGGGCTCCCTTGAGCGGTGGTTCCCTGTGGGGTCTCCACAGGCCGTGTCCCTGTGGGGCAGGAGGCTCTCAGTCAACGCTACTGCACATGTGCTGCATGTGGATCTCGTTTCACTCTCTCCCGCCGAATGAACAGCTACCAGGGGTCTTGCATACGAGCGACGCACGTCTGATGCTACCCTGCTGGCAAGCTGAGGGCTGTGTCTTCTGTCTTCCCGAGTAGCCTGGTCTCACATGTGGGTGATGACAGTCTTGTGAATCTGGATTGGTTCAACGAATCTAGGAGGACCGCTCTAGACCATTATAGAAACCCCTCACCTAATGCGACCTAGGGTACGTTTTGGTTTTTCACAATGAGATCGGAACCCGAGGACCATTGCCACTCAGTGACATTGGCTTCTAGATAGTTCCTGAAGCGGGAGAGTAAACAAAACAAGGATTGCCAAATCTAAGGCAGACTTCGTTCATGATTATCATGATACTTGGTATCAGCTGAAAGACGAGAGAGACTTCTGACCATCTACCCTGGTTTGATTTCCAGGCCTCTCTTACTCACATACCATCTGTCTGAAGGTGCGCCTATAAATCAGAAGTTAGTCCTTCTCTATTACGACACTGTTGATGGCAGGCAGCACAGGCTGGTGAAAGTAGCACATGCTTTGGCATAAGACAGACTGGGGTTTTCCCTGCGGTGTAGTCTACTCGACAGATAGGTGACCTTGAGTAACACACCCTCGGCCTCCATCTCCTAGGATAAAATGTGAAAGCGGATTGCTCTTCGGAAAATTGACGATGTGGGGGCGCCTGGGTGGCTCAATCGGTTAAGTGTCTGACTCTTGGCTTCGGCTCAGGTCATGATCTCATGGTTCGTGGGATTGAGCCCTGCATCGGGCTCTGCAGCTGGTAGCATGGAGCCTGCTTAGGATTCTCTTTCTCTCCCCCCTCTCTCTCTGTCCCTCCCCAGCTCTCTCTGTCTCTGCCTCTATCAGAATAAATAAACTTAAAAAAAAAAAAAGAAAATTAATGATGTGAATAAAACATAATGTAGGCATCCAAACATGCCTCATGTACCCGTGATACTTTAAGTTCCTAAGCCCAGGATCATGTCTCATTGTCTTCTCTTACGACCTCCGTTACCTCCACATGGTCTCCACCCAAATCATGTTTGAAAAATGCAACAAATATCATTTGTCGGTGGGGTTTTCCATCAACTAACATGTCAGTTCAGATTTGCACCAGTTCACCCTCTCTTGTTTGCCACTTCCCCTCACGTGCTTCTTCACCTGGGGACAGAACTGGAGGTCATTATCAGGACCTGTGTTCTATGCTCCTCCCTACAGAGTTAACTGAACAGGCCTGCAGCCACTGGGGGCTTTGTAGCTAGAGACAAGGGCCCCAGAAATAGATAAACACCATGATAATGATACAAAGACCAAAGACGGGACAGAAAGTCATGCCGTGACTCAACTGTCACTCAGGATTTCAGACCATCTGCAACTATGCCACACCTTTTGTAACAATCATCTTTTTCTGGCAGTCAATGGAAGGTGACTCTGATTCACAGCACATGACACTTTACTGAATTACAGTTTTAAATTGAGAAGGGGAAAACAGATGCTTTGTGACCATATAAGGAAATGAAACTCTACAGCCAAAGAAGAATTATACATACCGGGGGTCCCGGATCCCCCCTTTCTCCAGGAAGTCCATCCCGGCCATGTTGTCCCTGTTGCCCTGGAAATCCTGGGAGCCCATCAGGACCCCTTTCTCCTTTCTGCCCTGGGAATAAAGGCCAAAAGATATTCAAGCCCTTCTCAGCAGCTGGGTGAAGTAGAAGGAAACACAGGACAAGAGGTAAAAGCAATGACCTTGCCTCCAGGTGGGCCGGTAGAGACTCCCCTGAGTGTCTCCATTGACTAAAGTCACATAAAGACAATCACACAAAAGTCATAGGGGAGAAAGACAACTGCCAAACCCACAGGATCTCTTATTTGGGGAGCGCTCTGCCGAGGAGGTTGTGTAAGGAGGCACCAATCACATGGCCGCTGTGTGTGTGGTGCCCGACATGGTACTCCATCCCCTAGCAGTGGTGAATGGGGAGTAGTCCGTGGCTGCACACTTGCCCCAGTCTAGGCCAATCTTTCCAGAATTGTTTTGTTTTTCAAACTGGAGCTGAGAAGGTAGAGCTAGCTCTCTTCCTTTTTGTAAGAACTTAGAGCTTCTGCTAGGAAGGGCAGTCTACCCACACAGCCCAGGGAAAGCTAGTCTCGGGGAGAAAGGCAGATGGTGCAGTCCCCTGGACCCAGCTGTCCTGGGAGACTACGTCTAACATTTCAAATTTTGTTTGGCTGAGTCAATAATGTTTTCTAAAACTACTTCAAGCTGGGTTTCTGTCATGACCAAAATAGTCTTGATGAACACAGGATGCCAAAACGCACTGAAAAACTGGTAGGCGGGTCAAAGGAGGTCTTCAAATCCAAGTTCACAGTAATGAAGATTTAAATAGGTGGCTAAAGGAGCATCTATATTTTCAAATCAGAGATAGAGGATTTGAGGTTCCACATTCTCACCGCTCTGTGAAGGTCAAGGAATATTATTTTTTATTTTAGAGACAGAGAGAGAGAGAGAGAGAGAGCACGAGAGTGCACAAGTGGGGTAGAGGGGCACAGGGAGAGAGAGACAGAGAATCTTAAGCAGGTTCCACGCTCAGTGCGGAGCCTGACACGAGACTCGATCCCAGGATCCTGGGATCGTGACCTGAGCCAAAATCAAGAGTTAGTCACTCAACCAACTGAGCCACCCAGGAGCCCCAGGCCAGGAATATTTTTTTAAGCAATCTGAACAATCCTGTGTCTTGTTATAGAATTGATCTGTGGTCACAGGGAAATGAATACAAGATGAAAGTTCATCTATCATTCATAAAAATGGCAGGGAGCTAAGTGATTGACTAGACTCACCTTTCACTCTCGACACAACCATGTCTCCCTTTTCTCCTTTACTGCCAAGTGGTCCTGCAGCACCGGGTTTTCCCTTGGTGAGAAATAAGAGGAATGAATCAGTTTAATTTTGATGGGTCAAAAGTTATTCACCTACATCTAATCTCTCTCTTCTTTCCTTCTAAATCACCTGTTCCAGATTCTGGAGTGGTACCCGTGGTATCACTCTCTTCCTTACCTTCTAAGGTGGGTCCTACCTTACAAAACTGAAGGTCTTGACCTGCATTTAGAAGCTTGTGGAATCTGGATAAGGTCTGTACCAGATTCAACAGAAGCATCTATCATTATCAATTTCCTGGTTTTGGCAACGTACTATGGTTATGTATGCTATCATCAGGGATGCTTGGCAAAGGGTCCATGGGAACTCTCTGTGTGATTGTGTAACTTCTTTGAGTCATAACATAAAATTTATCTCAACATAAAAATTTATAATCAAATTTTTTAATTTTTTTTAACGTTTATTTATTTTTGAGACAGAGACAGAGCATGAATGGGGGAGGGTCAGAGAGAGAGGGAGACACAGAATCCGAAACAGGCTCCAGGCTCTGAGCGGTCAGCACAGAGCCCGACGCAGGGCTTGAACTCATGGACCGCGAGATCATGACCTGAGCTGAAGTCGGACGCTTAACCGACTGAGCCACCCAGGCACCCCCTATAATCAAATTTTTTAACTATCTTGAGCATTTTAATAGAATGAGGAGTAAAGAAGAAGGTAGGTTAACCACAAGAGCTGCCACTAAAGCCGAAGGCAGAGGTTTAGGGATAAGCTTGTGATATTGAGGGAAACTGATGGGCAAGAGGAGGGGAAAATGAGAACCATGGTTACACGGTTGATATATTTCCTCTATATAGCAAGTAAACAGCTGATTTTCACTGATGGGCTCATCATCTTTTGACCTCAACATTGCTCTGAGACTCACTGTTTGGGTCATGGTTTTATAAGTGTTACATATTACTGAATATTAAGCCATGTCAACAATCTGGAAACCTACCATCAGCATATTAGAGTGGCCAAGCATCACAGTAAATACAGCTACAGAAACACTATACATAACAAGGTTACTTATCAGATGACCTTGAAAGTCAAGAAACACAGATAAGAATTTAGACGGAGGTAAAAATGACTGAGAAGACCATTTACTTTTCCCACACAGATGCCACCTTGCCTTATTTTCATACAATCTAACAAGTTCATGCAAGCTTAACCTGCTTAACTGGCACTTTATAAGCAGTTAACTACTAAGAGGAGAAGAAGGTAACAGTGGAGATCAGTATGATGGCAGCATTAAGTAGTAAGAATGAAGAGGAAGCCAAAACCGTACGCAACAGGCATAAAAACCCAAATGGCAAAAATGCTTGGGAGGCATCTGATGTAGAAAAAAAAAACAGTTCCACACACCCACTCAACTACCTCCCCCACCCCCACCAGGGGCGTCACTGTAGTACAGCATCCCAGGTAACGATGTCTATGTGACATCAAAAAGGCGGGTGGAACAAATTTCTCAGTAGGAAGAGCTGGAATAGAAAAGGAACTTTAGAAATCGCAAAGTGCTAATATGGGTTGAGTGTTGCTTAAATGCTTATTTTTCCTGTATAGACTAAGTCATAAGTGACAACATGACAGGTCCAAAGTATATGAGACACAGTGTTCAGCCCAAGAGGCAGATAATGAAAATGCCCTTCCGATGGATAAACTATCAACACATAAAACCATTCATTTAGCACACGAACCAGTTTCTTTCCAGAAGGAGAATGCCAGTGGAATGCTTAATAAATGAGACCTTGGTGTCCTGGGAGTCTGAGCCGCTCCTTAGTTAGCCATTGAAGACTTAGAATGTACTATAAATTTCTCTAATGCTGCGCAGATATAGAATATTCAGCACTAGAGTCAGATCTCAGACTTATTTGAGCTAGTGAGAAAAAAAAATAGATAACCAGCACTGGTTTTGGATTTCACTAGAGAGACATTCACTGACAATCTACAAAGGGCCAGGGAATACTGAGAGTAGCAAGGACACAACAGTTAACAGCAGACCGTCTTGCCTTCATGGCACTTAGACTTAGATTCTTAGTGAAACAAATGTTGAATCCAAGAGATTCTTGGGGCAAAGGTTCCCAGCAGCTTTGGGATCAAGGCTACTTGTCATTATTCCAAGACCTGAGATCATTAAATACATGTGTTAATACAACAACAAAGTCTCAACAGCAACAAAACAAATTCCTCTCTGCCAGCCGTGTAACAGTTGTTTAAAACATGGTCTAGATCAGGGATTTGAGCCACAGATGCCCACAGGGGCCGTGCCTAGCAAGGGAAGCAGATGGATAGACCGCGCGGAGCCAGGAGCACCCAGCCCTTCTACATGCATGGTCACCTCTCAGCTCCTGGCAACTGTGGGAATGCACTGACCCTGTGTTAATGAACTTCCAATTTCTCAAGGGCCGCCATAAATCTTATTAATAATACAAAATAAAACATCACGAAGACAAAACCAAACAAGCCAGTAGGTCAGATTTAGCCCATGTCAAGTCCATGACCTTTGGTTTGCTCTACAACTCATCAGGGGCAGTGACCCTGCTTGATCACTGGTGTATCCCTTACAGCCCTCAGAATATGTTGCTGAACTGAATTCTTACCCCGTTGTTATGTCCATTTTATAAATGAGGCACTGAGGCTCAGGAAGACCGTAGAGCTCGCCAGTGTCAGAGTTGGGATTTGAAAGTGGATCCACGTGCCTCCCAGTCCCCATGCTTAACATGACAGCATCTTGGTAGGAAACCCCCAACCTCAGACTATGGCAATAAATACAAAGCTTTGTTCGAACCATAAAAAAAAAAAAAAAAAAAAAAAAAAATGTAAAGAACCTAAACGCACTTTTCTGTTTTCTATTTGCCTACCAATCTGTGGCTTCTGAGGCCAGGGACCAGCTGCTGAGAGAGGACATGTCCGATAAAGTGAGAGCACCCACAGTGATCGTCTGTGGTTCCTCTGTGCTCTCTCTTTGTATCCATTCCTTTCCCCCAAACACTTTCCTTTCACAGTGCCTCGTGGTATAAGGATCTAGTCCCCAGCTATAACCACACCGTGATGAACTTAATGCAGAGAAGTCATATGGACAGGATCATGTACAGAAAAAAAGACATCAGAAACATTACCTGTCCTAAGAGTAAGCCGTACAGCAGCCGAATGACATAAAGCTCAGCCAGGACAACCCTGGGCAAACTAGCAATTCACACTCAAAGAGGCTAGCCCTGAGAAGCAACTCAAGAGAAAGCCATAAAAATATTTTAGAACCAGTATCATCTTCTTAATGAAGGTACCACTATAAAAAATGACTGTGCTCAAATGCCGAATGGAAAAAGCAGACTATAAAATGCAAAGTGCTTAACAGCTGCGGCCGTGTTCATTCAACATACACGTATTAAGGAGTTAGCTTCTTGTCAAGCAGACTTTGTGAGTGTGTTTTGCAAGTGTATTGAGGGTGGTACCGAGAGAGAGCCTAATTGTCACCCTCACTTAAGGCTCTCAGACTGGAACCTTATTTCCATAGCATGTCCCAGGGAAAATGGAAAAGAGGACATTCAAGCTGATGGGTAGGCTCCAGGTCACCCCAGGATTAAGGCTCTTTGATAAAGAGGGGACAGGCAGGCTGTGTCCAGCCTCCAGAGTAATGCCCTTAGGGCCAGTGAGTTTCTTCTGAGGAGTCAAGTTGCTGAAAGGCTGTGCCTCAACTCGAGTCACTTGTAATGGTCAGCAGATGAGAACCATTTCAAAATAGATCTACTCTGTGGCACGAAATATCACATAAACGCTGACAAAGCCAATGTCTGTATCTCCACCTTGGACCTCGCATCGGAATCTCTTACTTGAATACCATCTCACTACCCTTCAACACCTCGACCTGCTTGTCTGATTGGCACCTCAAATTTAAGATGGCCCCAATGATACTTCCTTTCCCTACTCCACACCTACTCCTCACATTGGCTTCCCCATTTGGGTCTTATCCTTTACTTTTCTCCTTCTAATATCCCATGTCCAGCCCAACAGCCAATCTATTAGCACCGATCTCAAAACATATCGAGAATCTGATCATTTCTCGTCACACCCAGCACCAACATGCTAATTTGTCTACCGTCATATTTCACCAGGACTATGCAGCAGTCCTCCAGCCCATCTCCCTCCTTCCCTCGCCCCCTGTTATCTGTTCTTACCAGAACTACCATAGTGAGCCATTCGAAGCTAATGTCAGCCATAGAGCATTATGTCTGTCTCTTCTTAAAACTTTCCACTGGCTGTTCCCTGTCATCCAGAATAAAAGCCCAAACCCAACGCACCCACCAAGCCCCGTGCTCCACAACCCCACATAACCTCCAGCCACTTCTTTGTCTTCATTTCCTCCAGCTTTTCCCCCTCAAGCTACATTAGATGGTGATGGCCTTTATCATCATCAGCCATACATACTCATCTATTTGCTACCCAGCATGCGTCCCTCCCAACCCCAGGAGTCCCCAGGAGGGTACAGACTGTGCTCTGCTCCCTACTGCATGCCCAGCACCTAGAATGACACATGGAACATAGTAGGTGCTCAATAAATATTAGTTGAATGAATGAATGAACATAGATGATTTTTTTTGGTCATTAATATATGTATAGGTTCAAAACATAAAATATATATCATACTATAAGTCAGAAAGAGCTACAGTTGAATTTTATCTCTGTCTCTTTTAACTAGAAAGATTGTTATTGGTAAGAGCTACTCACTGGTGGTCCTGGAGATCCTTCAGCACCCGGAGGGCCTGGATGACCTTTCTCTCCAAGCCACCCAGGGAGCCCCAAGTCTCCCTTACTACCCTGCCTCCCAGGAAGTCCCGGAGGGCCTGGTGGGCCCATGGGACCAGGCTCACAGGCACAGAGCCCCGCGTTTCCTAGACAGAGGATAAAAGGCAGCTTTGTCATATTTCCTGCACAAAATCCCAAAAAGCCTTTACTAAACAAAACCAAGAATGAAAATAAGAACAAAAAGGGTATGACGTACATGGTTCTTATCTCCCATAACTGATAACATGTGACGTAAGCAGAGGAGGGGCACTGTGTAGGGGTACCTAGGCATGGTCTACATGGGGCAGGTGTATCATTTCTGGACAAATGGGGTATCTTGGGTCTTTAAATAAACTCATTCTGATAAACTGATACCCAAATTTACTGAAGGAACTTTAAAATAAGAAATCATATTTTTAAAAGTTTGAAAGTCTTTTATCTGGTTCCTGCTGAAGAAACAAAAAAAAAAAAAATTGGGTTAGAGCATAAACTCTAAACAAATAAAGAAACAAAATAATATGTGAAAAAGGATTACTGACTGCATTGCCTATTACAACTGATAATTCACTACAATGCGTTTTCTAATCATCAGGACTTTTAGTCGGAAAAAAAGCCTTTCAGATGGTCAAACTCAGCTGTGTTTCTGCTCTCATACCCACCTGTTCCAGATGGTCAAAAAGGCACCAAACAATTTACAGTGGAGAAACACTGAGACACAAACACTTGATGACATGGGGAAGTATGGACCCACAGAGAGAAAGTGAAATAAAAGATCAGTACTTTCTCATCTCTGCTTCTTTCAAGGAACAAAAAGCACCTCATGAAAAAAGTCACCACTCTGAGGCAAATTTCACAGCAGGCAAGGGTCTCCTTTAGACTCTCAGATACAAAGACTTGACTTTGGCTAAGTTCTAACCATATCATAAGCACGTGATGAAAAGGGGCACTCAAGGGGGTAACTAAGGTGCGTATCGCATCGAAGTGAAATGTTCCATTGCCCACTTCATAAATGCCTCCAACCCCCCCCCACCATAAGCTATTGTCTTCAGGAAATCCTACCTTTGCTGCATACTTGCCTTTTTCTCCTTTCGAGCCTCTTCTTCCTGGAGGACCTGCTTTGCCTTTTATTCCTTGTGGTCCAGGGTGCCCGACACTACAATATATAACTTTACAGTGGGAAAGGGGGATGGGGCATAAGAGAAGCACTCAGTTTTTGTGAATGTCTTCCAAAGAACAAGTGCAAATGTCTCTTGCACTCTTATTTTCCCCTGAAGCCCACTTTCTTCCATTCATTTTCCAAATTTCTTTCTCTCTAATATAAGAATATATAAACAAATAGACCATACAATTGTCATGGCATGCTTCTGCTCCCACAACCATCGATAAAGCCATCCTAATCTCAACCCCAACTTAGTGGGTTGTAGAGAAAGGTGGACAAAAAAACAAAGACAATAAATAAACAACAAACAAAAATAACTGTGCAGCTAACATCCTTTTCCCCTTCCATTATGAATAATTAACAAATTAAGAAAGCTCATAAAAGCAAAAATTCAGAGATATTCGATTAAGTGTGACAGTTAAAACATAAACAATAAGTTGTTTATTCTCCCTGAATCCCAGTAAAACAGCAAACAGTAAAATAATATTATAAAAAGGTGTAAGCTCACAAGACAAAAAAAGGGGGGGGGGAGGTAAGGAAACAAAACAAAAAGTGTAAAAGAACCTAGCAGACCTTGAAAAGCTGAATTCTAAGCAGGCAGGGGGGAAAGGGAACAAAAAACACAATTTACATGAGAAATCTCTCCCAAAGTTCAGGAATTGGTACCTTGAAGTAGAATGACAGTGCCCCAAACAGGAGGACTGGTTAAAGAAACAATTTAATCATAAGATCCCCTTCTCAAGAATTACAGCAGCAACTATGGCCCCTCAGAATTGAGGAAAGAGACAACATAGCAAGAAGAAAACTTTGAAATAAAGTATATGATTTAAAAAGTAGATGAAGGCGGGGCGCCTGGGTGGCTCAGTCGGTTAAGCGTCCGACTTCAGCTCAGGTCACGATCTCGCGGTCCGTGAGTTCGAGCCCCACGTCGGGCTCTGGGCTGACCGCCTGGAGCCTGTTTCGGATTCTGTCTCCCTCTCTCTCTGACCCTCCCCCGTTCGTGCTCTATCTCTCTCTGTCTCAAAAATAAATAAATGTTAAAAAATTAAAAAAAAATAAAAAATAAAAAGTAGATGAAGGAAAGCATTTCACCTCTAAAACATGAACAGATTGCTACAAAAGAAAACACTGAGGGGCTTCCTGGGTGGCTCCGTTGGTTAAGCATCCAGCTCTTGGTTTCTTCTGCTCAGGTCATGGTCTCATGAGTTCATGAGTTTGAGCCCCACACCAGGCTCTGTGCTGACAGCATGGAGCCTACTTGGGATTCTGTCTCCCTCTCTCTCTGCCCTCCCCCACTCACTCTGTCTCTTTCTCAAAATAAATAAATAAACCTAAAAAACTTAAAAAAAAACATTAAAACAGAACAATAGCAACAACAAAATCCTTAGAAACGAAAAGAAAACCATTATGAAAGTAGAAATTGAAAAATTCTGGAGCAGAGATGTAAAGTGGAGTTGAGGAAGTCTACGAGAAAGTGTTACAGAAAAATAAGAAGGTGAAAAGTAATAAAGAAACATATGGTGGATTCACTAATAGGCACATATGTAGAATTCAGAAGGAGAAAACAGGGGGGAAATGGAGGAGAAAGTATCTTCAGAGAAACACTTCAAGAAATTTTTCCAGAAATGGAGGAACTGTGTTGGCTAGAACTTGCTCACTGAGCGCCTACGAATAAATGCAGATGTGCCCACACAGAGGCAAGTCGTTGTGAAATTGAAGGTCATTGGAGAAAAAAGAAAAATTCTGTAAGATTTCAGAGCAGAAAACAGATTTCAAACAAAGGATCAAGAATCTAAATGTCATTGGACTTCTTCAACTCTAGAAAACAATGGACAATGCCTAGAAAAATGTATTTCCAATCTAGAATTTTATATTCAGCCAAATTATCAACCAAATTCCACAGCAGAATAAAGGCATTTTCAGACAGATAAAGTATACTTTTTTCAGGACGTATGATGATGGATATATGAGATAGAAGTATGATAGAAATATGTGAGTTGTAGGTAACAAGGGGACCCAGAGAGAGGGAGAAACAGAGACAGAGGGAAACATAATGAGACAGAGACAAAGAGAAAAAGAATTCCTGGTAAAGGAAGATTTCGAGACAGTGTCTGAGATGGCTTAAAATTGCAACCTGACCTAATCTGAACAGGTTAAAAAGCTCCAGGAGAGATTTATTCAAAGAGATAATACTGATAAAATATTTCATGAGTTAGAATGGAAATTTACGCAACTCTAGATGGTTTGAGGTTAAATTCACAGTAGGCATATTGAAAAGCAAGCAAACACACACAAAAAACCAAGACTACTCTTAACAAAATGGTACACTAGAAAAGTAATAACATACATTATTGGATGGCAGACCTGGTGAACAGCATTTATGTAACCATTCAGTGTAAATACTGAATATTTTTATGTAGTCAAAACTAAGAGAATAACTACGTTGACTAGGCTTTGGGAGTAGAAAATGTGCATACGTGCGGTGGGGAGGGACTGAACGAGAGCCAATTTCGTCATCTATGGAAGGAAGTGAAAAGATAAGTCTCAAAGTCAAGAATCAAGAAATTGCAATACAAGGTGGTGCCTGGGTGGTTCAGCCAGTTAAGCCTCCACTATGGCTCAGGTCACGATCCGCCCTTGGGCTCTGTACTGATGGGTGGAAGCCTGGAGCCTGATTCAGATTCTGTGTCTCCCTCTCTCTCTGCCCCTCATCTCCCCAAAAAAATAAACATAAAAAAAGAAAGAAAGAAAGAAAAAAAGAAAGAAAAGAAAGAAAGAAAGAAGGAAAGAAAGAAAGAAAGAAATACAAGCACATTGAAGGGCACTAGAAAGGCAAATAAAAAAAGATCCCAATGACTTGTGCGAAGATAATTGCCCCTGGGGAGGAAGGAACAGAAGGGGTTGGCTAGGATGGCAATTCTTCACAACAGGCTTCATAGAACTGTCTCTTACACCACCTCTATTTATATAACTCTGATAAAAATTAAAACGACATTGAAAAAATAGAAATTGTAGTAATTTACAAAACTCTATCATTCACACAAATCCTCAACCATATGTTTTAGCTGATGTGATCTCCAACATCAGTCTACTCTTTTGTATTATTAATAATACTAACTTGGCTCATGACATAATGGATAATGTTAAAAAGTATTTAGAAAATCACATTTTCTGAATGACACTGCAGATATCACATGCAACATAAATGCCAGTGAATGTGAATGAGGAGCACTTTACCATCTGATCCTGGAGGGCCCTGCAGTCCTGGAGCTCCAGGCAACCCAGGTGGTCCCGGGCTCCCTGGTTTCCCTGGAGTGGAATCAGCTCTCCCGGGGATACCGGCTGCCCCTGGAAATCCCGGATGACCAGGAAACCCTCCTGGCCCAGGGGGTCCCATCATGCCTCCAAGAGAAATTGAGAATGAAAACCACATGTATCTCTCAGAGTAAACAAACTTTTTTTTTTTTTTTAAGAAGAAATCAAAATCCGTACATTCTTCCTTAGACTGTAAAAATTTTTAAAGGAAAAAAAATGTATTTCAAAATTAACTTGATTTCCCAGCCATAAGAATACCTCACCTTCTTTGAAATAAGCCCACAAGTGGAAATTTTGAGGAATCAGAGTTTCTTACTTTTTCCCTATTATTTAGGGTTACTGGAGGAAAAAACACATATTATTTAATTAAAATTATTATTTTTTCAATCTTTCCACTTTGATAATTTGGTTAAAAATAATCTGGATGAACATATTAGCACATGTAGCAAATAAAAATATGGACTCACATATCATCTCCATAAGATATAGAATACCATACCTTTCATAGCAAGGTAGGTTGGGGAGAGGCATAGAGGTGCTGTATTAGAACCTGATCTCTCTCTCTCCAGCCACACGTAATTACACACGCTCCATGAATGTTGAAATGTTCGGTGTGTTCAGGGGTCAAAGTGAGTAAAAGCTAAATCCTGCTTTCTTGTGACATCTGACCCTCTTACTGGGGGCTTTGGCTAAAGACAGCAGGAAGCCTTCCTGTGAGAAGCATCTTCTTTCTGAGCATGAATCTCTCTGTGGAAGATTATAGTTTCCAAAGATGGCTGCCACAGTAGCTCTCATCCCTCACACTCTTGTTCCCCTCTCCTTGAATGTGATGGGATTTTGTGATTATTTGGACTAACGAAGTACAGCAGGAGTGATGCCATGTACAAAGACGATGGCTACGTCATTAAAGATGATTCAGCTTCTGCCTTGTGAGCTGAAATGCTTGGGATTGGAGTCCTGAGCCACCACAGAAGCAATATCACTGCTCTGAAGCCACCATGCTCTACGGAAGCCTAAATAAGTACAGAGCCAGACAGAGAGGCCATGAGACTATACAAAAGAAAGAGGACAGAGATGCCCAGCCAGTCCTCATGTGTCTGTTGCAGCCATATAATGGCGATGAACATCCCAATCTAGAATTGCTCAGCTTAGCCCTTCCTGAATTCTTGAACCACAGCGAGGGGTAATATGATGATTGTTGTTTTAAGCCACTAGGTTTTGGGTAATTCATTCAGCAACCCTGTCAGTAATCAGTAAGTAGCACGCTAACTAAATTAATGGCATTCATTACAGTGTGCATATATGCTGGGGCTTTGCATATATTTTCAAACATTAGCCGTACTCTTGAAATAATCTTGCAAAGTTTGTACCTTATAGATAAGGTACAGAAATTTAGACCAATAATAAATAACATGGCTAACGGCATTCTAAGAACTGTTTACATATTGCTTCCTTCAACCCTAACAAGAACTGCACTCTAAAGAGGAGAAAACTGAGGCACAGAGAGGTTTCGTAAATGCTGAAGACCACACCACTTGTATGTGGTAGAACCTGGAATGTTTTTAGTCCATAGTGTAAACATGTAACTCTTTCAGCATACTACACTGAGTGGCACGGCTGGGATTCAGTCACAGGTATCTGACTCCAAAACCCTACGTATCTCATGGTAAGTATTTTAGATGATTGTAAAATAAGCATAGCAAAGGCTATGAACATTGGTGTGCTTAAATGAAAGGTGTTCCTGTTGACTTGGCTGTCACCTTGTCTTCATGTCATTCCTAAGACTTATCTCCAAACCTCCACAGTCACTGGATGCACCTGGATGCTACCTGGTGTCTTGTCCCAGTCTATGGAAAATGCTCGACCGCTTTCCAACAGGGAAAATGGGCTGTGGTGTATGGAATATAGCACCTTGAGCACCCATGACATCAATTCAGTTGTGGCCAGCATTAAAATTTTTTTTTCAAAACAAAAGAGTGGCATAGAAAATAGAATACATCGTACCCCAAAAGGTATTCTTTTATGAAATTTGTGTTTCAATCATATGTATATGTGGATACATGTATGTGTGCAATGTAATGCAAATGCAATGTAATACTAAATATATTTTTTATAATAGATTGTAGTCAAGACTTGAAAGCCATTGGGTTAATTCTTTAAAAAAAAAATCTTGTGGAATTAAGAGCCTTTCTGTTACATTCAGCTTTCAATCTGCTAGAGATATGTGTTGCTTACTCCCATTGGGTTTTGATTTCAATCTGCTAGAGCCACTATTTTATTATAAATATGCCCAAAAGAAGAAATCTAATACCAGAGGCTAATGATTCCTGACCAACTGAGTACTGTCTACACAACTTAGATAGCCCTGGGTCAATGAAGCCAAGGCTACGGTATCTACAGATTAAATAAACTCAACTTTGCCACCTTTGTGGTCAGTTATCAGATCCTACAAAGCGAAAGCTAGATTCATAGAAAATTAAAGAACTTTGTAGTTAACAGATGAATGTCAGGAAATTTTTCACTCCTCAGTAAATAGAACAAGAGACACGGACTGGATAAAATTACGTCTATTCAAGACTTTCTCCTCATACATTTAATGAGTTCTCCTGAGTTCCCAGAATACAAATCTCCTCTACACTTCTATTCCTAATCTTACTTGGGAATATTAACCAGCACAGCACTTGAAGGAGTTCAAAGTCCTTTATCAATAGGATTCTTTCCCAGGCACTTCTGCAACTTGATTACCATGAGCTGTAAGGTTTTGTTTTCTTTTGTTTTGTTTTGGAGGGGGTACTGATTTTGGGGGGAGGTGAGGACGTTTTGGTTTTGTTTTTTAAATGAAGGCTGAATCACAGTTTTATCTTTTAATTCATAATTTGTGTTTCCATCTTTCACGAAGAGGAACTCAATTTTCACGAATAGATGTCAACAGGGAGAGCCTTTCCAAGAGGATGGAAAGACCTGAAAAAACACTCTGAGCCTGGCACCAGTTTCCAAATCTTATCTGCCTCTGACAACTTGCGGGACGCCTCTTATACCCACAGATTCCTCACCACACCCCTAAGATGCTGACTCAGTATTTCCGAGGTACAGCTGAGGGATCTGGATTTCTTCCAAGTAAGCCATTAATTGGCTTGAGTTCAGTGGTTCTTAAGCCGTGCTCTACACATAGAAGTAAGAGGCGCTTTGGTAGCAGCAGATGTCTAGGTCCATGCTCCAGAATGCCCAATATTCTTGATCTGGGTGGGGTCAGCCACCAGTTGAAACGCTCCTAGTTGACATCAGTATCAGCTAGAGTTGAGAACCTCCAGGGAGGAGGAAGATGTAGGAAATCTGGCACAGAAAGGCCAGTGGATTTCTACCTGCACAGGTTTCCCCTGGTGGTCCTGAGGGACCAGGGGGACCAGGCGGTCCAACAGACCCCGTTTCTCCATAGCGGCCAGGGCGCCCCGGATCCCCTGGAGGACCTGCCCAAAACAACAACCCGTGTCAGTGTAATAAACGTATATATACATCTTAAAATTCACACACAATTACTTCTTGTGAGGCTTGGTTGAGTACAACTAAGAGATTGTTCTTGCAGTTTCTCGCCACAGTTAGAAATGCAGGATCTTAAGGGGCGCTTGAGGGGCTCAGTCGGTTGAGCATCCAACTCTTGATTTTGGTTCAGGTCATGATCTCACCATTCATGAGATTGAGCCCTGCTTTGGGCTCCATGCTGATCGTGTCAGCCTACTTGGGATTCTCTCCCTCCATCTCTCTCTGCCCCTCCCCCACTCGCGCTTGTGCTCAAGCTCTCTCTGTCTCTCAAAATAAATAAATAAACTTTTTAAAAAATGCAGGATCTTAGATCCCTTCTCTGCAGACACATGAACCTTGAGCGGCACTGTCTTTCACACTGACTTGGGTCACTTTCTCGGAGGCAGCATCTTGGTAGGTCTTAGATGGTTTGGAAACATTTTTTAGCAATTAAAATTAGAAGGGTAACATAACAAAAATCTCTGCATACAGCTTACATGCTAAAAAAAAATAACATTTGGAGTCTTATGCCAACAGAGATGGTCCAGATGCACTTATCGACCTGCACTTGTAAATTACATATTCTTGCTAAAATCAAGGTATTTAGCACGCCAAGCAGGCAAAATACGCAAATACTGGGCCAGACTCTTCTGTCAGGGCCACCCAAGTCCCATTTCCTAATAATTTATGGCGGAACCAAGCTAGACACAAACCTTTGAGCGGAAGAGATGGAGTTACCAAAACACCCGGTGGTCCTGGGTACCCGCGATCTCCAGGGTCCCCCTGAAATCATTCATTCAGACACTTTTCTTAGAAATATTAATATTTTTCTCATGTTGCCTGTAATTAAATATTAGAAGGACCAAGGGTGCATTCGTTTGAGAAATAAAGATTCTAGGCTGACCAGAAAAAAGAATGGTTCATAGAGATCTGGGAATAACAAAAGCATCCGACCTCCACCTACAAGCAGAAGTAAAGGATCACCTGGCAAAATTCTCACAAAAGAAAAAAAAAAAAAAAAACAACAAAAAAAAGATTTTTCATGCCCATAAACTAGATACTTCTGAAATCAGGAATTTTCTTAGAAATACTATGAGCATTCACGTTGAACTTGGCAGTCTGGTATAAATAGTCTATTCACCTACAAAATCTGAATCTACACCTTATTTTAGGTGGCCTTATTTAGGTGGCCCCACAGAGAGTTCTCCACAACTTCCTCTGATTTTAATTGGGATACTAGCTGATCCCCATGGAATTTTTGAAGCTTTCATTATTATTCACGTTCAAAAGGTTGATTTCTCAAATGTAAAATATAAACATTTACAACACACATTGAGATAATATGTACAAAATTAACTCTGTTGCTTTCCAAACTTCTGTTTCTCAAGGATTCTTTCAAATATTTTTAAAAATAAATTAGTTAACATAAGGGATATAGAATTTTATCAGGCTATACTCAAATAAGCCTTTTATTTTTTTACCTTTGGGCCAAGAAATCCAAACGATCCAGGATCTCCAAACAGTCCTGGTTCCCCCTACAAAGAAACACAAACATTCCTTTTTAAAAAAAAATGTGACTGGGTGACAAACTGTCTCACTCTTGTTTAATTTGAATGACACACGCTCACTGAGATTCTGTGCAAAGTCTTAACACTATTTTTGGATTGCTTCAGACAGTTTTGTGTGTTAGTTTTTTTGCACTTACAGCTAGATCATGCAATTCATAAAATAAACGTGTCTCCTTTTCCAGTTACTGTGTGCATACTTGCATGCCCTAGTACGACTTCTGAATGACACTGAATTGTACTTATGAATGAAAATATACTTATCATCTTTATAATCGTGTACATTTACCTTTAATCCTGGAAAGCCTGGCAACCCATAGGAACCAGGATCACCCTAATAAATTCACAAAAATCAACACAAGCAGAATTAAATCAAAGTGCTTGAACCAGTTCAATGCATTATTTTTCACCTTAGGAAACTGCCTTCTGGATATTGAATCTTGGCTCTAAAGGCAGCTGAATAAAAGGAAATATGTATAAAACAGACTGCTTCTTTATAACATCAGCTATTTTAACTGATTTTTTAGTTTACTTTAAAAATGCATGTCCTTGCCAGTGTTTTAAATTAAGAACATACTTTTGTTGTTGTTGTTCTTGTGTTTTCACTCACTTAGTCTAATGATTGCACTGGGCTAAATATTTTTGGAATCGTTGCAATATAATTTGTCTGGAGATTAATAGGTACTCTGTGCATTATCAGCAATAAAAATTATCATGGAAGCCAACGTTGCCCCTTAACTACGGAATCTGGAGCCAGATAAACTCAATGCCCCTGCCCATAGGGGGTCTGGCCTCTATAGTGACTCTATCAGTGATGATCCATCCCATTGGTGGCATGTTTGAGGCCTGATGCTGTATTTTTTTGTAGCTACTGCCCATAGATCAGTACCCTCTTTTGTCAAATAGGCTTAAATGAACGATTCCAAGCTGCTACTGCACCGACACTGAACCACGCAGGAAATGCCACAATCCTGTTCCTACCCACCAATTCTACCTTCTGCTCGCCTGGTTTATCTAAATGATGTCAACAGAAGGGACGTTTTGTTGAACATGTCGCTATTACATCATTTGTATCCAAAATATATTGTTCCTGTTTGAGAAAACCTCCACTCTGAGTTCTTAGAAATGCTGATCTAGTTTTGTAAAAATAGGAGAGAGAAAGCCAACTCGCTGACGTTAGGGGCAGCAGGAATGGCATGAACCAGCCTTACCCGTGGTCCTGAGAACCCAGGAACACCCTTCTCTCCTTTGGCCCCAAATCCAGGTTTTCCCTTAAAGAGATGACAACATTTAGAGGCATTCGAGCAGCAATATCTCAGCAACATGGCATTCAGAAACAAAATGAGATTTAAAAATTACTGCCGGCAGCTTAAAGGAAACAAGTACTTTAGAATAGATGCCCCACGGGATTATGATAAAATAGTGAAAACTTCTATTAACATACATTAGCATTTAAAGCAATGATAAAGATCCATGCAAAACATTGTTTTTCATGAATATAGCATACCATACAAATAAAAAAAAAAGGTATTTCAATAAATTACCTTGGGTCCTGGTGGTCCTGGAGGTCCAGTTACACCAGGCATTCCTTTTATGCCCTAAAAATCACAATGAATATTTATCTGGTTTATTCTTATTATTTAACATACTGAATTCCATCTTTTTCAGAACTTACCCCTTTCAACAATCATTTTACTAATTTTCAAAATAAAGGATTATTCTTCAACTGTTGCTCAATAGCAATTAAGGTCCAGGAACGTTCCTAAACCCGACACTATTCAGACCAGCTCTGTGTGAGAGGTGTCGTGTTGTGGGGCACAGGGGACGTGACCACCATGGAACCAGAGCAGCAGGTGCAAGCTGGGAGTGGAGCCATTGAGAGGAGTGGCTCATTTTGAGCAAGTTAGTGAAAGTTAACCCAGTAATTGAAAACTGACAACAGAATCTGCGTGTGGCGAGTGTAACATCAGTAAGTATCGCAGGCTGACAGGGGAAGTGATGTTTGCCAAACTTCTATTACGTGTCCACTTCTACATACCTGTTACCTTCTCAATGATCAAAACATCAAGCCCATATGTAACATCTCAAGGACAACTGGACTTCCAGTGGCCCCTTCGGCCCATATACCAAAGACAGCATCAATGGGGCACTATATTCTGGAGGACATGTCACAATTTAGCAGCCCACACTAGGTCTGTGATGCAGCAATTGAATAAACTTGAGAACATGGGTAACTTTCCCAAGCCTCATTTTCCAAGTCTGTACAATGGGGCTAATGACAGTACTCATCTGCTAAGGTTGCTCTGGGATTGATGCCCTGATTCCTGGAGGCACTCAGCACTTTGTTGACACAGATACATGTTCAGAAAATGCTGACTGTGACTACTTTATCAAGGCAACATATGGATTGGGAATTACCTTTTCTCCTTTATACAGACAAGAATCAGGTGGCTGTACCAATAAGGTGGGTCCAGGAGAACCTTGCTGGCCAACTTCACCCTTAAAAAAAAAGGAAGATAATAGGAATTTCATATTAACTTTATTTTGAAATATAATTTGAAACAAAGAAGAATTTCACCCATGCATTGTCATCTAATGCATACAGTCCTGTGTGTCATGAGTTTAAAACAAAAATCATGGCAAATACATCATGCAACTTAAAGTATTTATTGTTTTTCACCAGTAATAATACTGATCGTTAGAAATAAAATTAAAAAACAGAAACAGAAACAGAAACAAAAACAAACTAGGGGCACCTGGGGGGGCTCAGTCAACTGAGCGTCCAACTCTCGATCTCAGCCCAGGTCTTGATCTCAGGTTCGTGAGTTCAAGCCCTACATTGGGCTCCATGCTAGGCATGGAGCCTACTTAAAATAAAAAGAAAACTTAAAATTAAAATTAAAATTAAAAAAATTAAATTTAAAAATATAAGTGATTCATAATCCTATCATCAGAGATCTCTATGAAAACTTTGGTATAGTTCTTTGTGGTGTGTGTGCTTATGAGTCTGTATCTGTACACATACCTTGGATAATGTACCTATGTACCCACATGTAGGTGATCAAATGATGTGTTAAATACAATTTAAAAGATAATCAGAATGCTATACAGAATATATAAACATAATTTAAAATACACACAATGGTTTATATTTTTATATTTTGTTACAGTTTCAAGTTTTAAAATAGTTTTGTATTTTTCTTTTATAATAATATTTTTTGCACATTTTCCAATTATACTACAAATTCTTCAAAAACCTGATTTTTAGTGTGTACACAATAATCTACGGTAAGACTATACTATCATTTATTAAGCCATCCTACTCTAGTTAGATTTAGGTTATTTCTAATTTGTTTTCGATATGTTTAAGCTCTCTGTATAGAATAGTTAACCAAAAGTTGTCATTTATGTCATTAGAAATGTTATTCTCTTGGGAATAAAATGTCCCCCTAACTGGGTTTGCCATGATACAACCAAAAATTCTCACCCTTAATTAGCAGATAATTTTTTTTTTTTTACTTATCTGAATATTTCTATTCATTCTGCACTTAGATATAGTTAAGACCAGATGATAGAGCTGGTCACCTGTGTTTGCAAACTAGGCCCATACTGACTGTCATTTTGGACAAGTTCCTTAAAAATCTCTCCTACCTAGCCTTTGTTTCCTTGATTCCTCTGAATCTCACCTTCCTTCTCTGTGAACTGAGGGTTAGTTATAACACTGTCTACTTCAAAGTATTATTACTTTATTAAACAGACAATGCACATAAAATGCTTAGCACTTACTACACCGAGTGGAACAAAGATTCTCAAATATATAATTTTTAAGCCATTAATGTTTTTGTTAAGTGGGATTTGGGGAAGAAGAATACTGTTTCCAATTTAAATGAAATAATAGAGCCAATAATTCAATCCCTACCTATAACTGGAAACTACAGAAGAACCAGGTTAGGGACCTAAGCTTATTTTTTTTAATGTACCCTAATATTTGATGGTGTTGTTACAGCCGCTGCTCTGAAGCATTTATGTTATGTACATAAATGATTAAACGAATGCAAAAATAATACATAAGGGAGTAACATGTTTTGGTAAATATAACCATGCTTATTCTTGCAATGTTTATTTATTTTTGAGACAGAGAGAGAGAGAAAGACACAGAGTGTGAGTCCAGGAGGGGCAGAGAGAGAGGGAGACAAAGAATCTGAAGCAGTTTCCAGGCTCCAAACTGTCAGCACAGAGCCCGACGCGGGGCTGGAACCCACGAACTGTGAGATCATGACTTGAGCCAAAGTCGGACGCTTGACTGAGCCACCCAGGTGCCCCTGTTGTGTTGTTTTAATTGACCTTATACTTTAGTAACCTGTACTTTCTGATCCACATTATGTCATAGGCATGTCTGCACATCATGAAGTCTTCCAGTGTATTTTGGGCAATAGAGTCGTTTTGCTAAATGCCTGCACCATAACTTACCCAACCACACTGGGACTCCATGAGAGTGGGGATCAAGTCGGTCTTGCTAAAAATCCCCATATCCAGCACTGATCTTAGCCCGGCAGAGTAGACGCTCAATATCTACTTGCCCACAGTTGTGGCAAGAGCCACTTACCAACTGTTAGACATTCAGATTGTTTCCAGATGAGCTGCCATCTTAAAATACCTTTCTAAAGCTTATCTTTGCTGAGTTTCATGCTTCAGGAGAAAGGACTGTGGATGTGAGGGAGGAAGGGGTGAGGGACAGTGAGCATAGGTATGAGGCAGGAGAGAGTGGGAGACTGTGTCGCTAAATGTTTTTGGTTCCAGGTGTTTATATTTTTATTTATGTGTAGAGTTTAGGATTCTGAGGAAATTTGTGAAATTAAGCCAAGCAATACAGTAATTAAACAAACCATTACGCTGGATATACTAAATTATCAGAAATGTTCAATCTCTTTTTGCTGGGGTAAAATGTGTCATAGACATTAACTTGAATTTAGTGGTAAATTTTCTCAGGACTGTCATTTTACAGTCAAGGGTAACGGTGCCATAATAATTCAGCAAAAACAGCATCTCAGCCATAAAACTGGGCAGTGAACACGATAACTGGATAATGAACACGGTTTAAGTGACAATCAGAACACCCTCCCCCTCCCCGCCGCCCCGGCAGCACATACATTTTAACGTCTGCTCCTCCGCGCACAAGGGGATTCTTACCGGTTCTCCCATTTGCCCCTTCACTCCCACGCCAGGATTACCCTGGGAAAGAAAAGGAAAAAAAAAAAAAAAAAGGTAATTGCTTTTGAATATTTAAAAGGTAATTACAAGCAAGTAAGATTTCTGGTTAAGCAATTAAGTGAAGTTTATTAAATATTTGGGGAAGTCTAATAAGGGAAAGACATAATTCTGACAAATCTCGTGGTCACTAATCTCGTTATACACGGACAGTCTCCATCTGTAGCATCTTACTCATGACCACCCACCTTCAAGCCTGGTCTCCCAGGATGGCCCGGAGCACCCTAAATCAAGGGCAAAAAGGCACAAATCAAGTATCAGTCACAGAAATCACAACGGGTCCGCGTTGGGTTGTCTCAAGATCCGCTTTAGGAAACCCTGAACTTTAAAACATGCTGCTGGTCTCCCCCTCCTGGCTGTTTCCTCCCATGGCTTGTTTCCCTGGAGGACCCTTGCTTCAAGGCTTCAAGACAAACTCACACTTGGTGGGGGGGCGGCGTATGCAGATTCATCAAGTGGTAACTTCTCAAACAACCCACCTGTGCCTACCCACCCCGAGGTTTCAATTTGCTTTTTT